AAAAAATTAGTTTTTATGTTTTATGTTTTGGTTTCATAGTTTAACAACTTACAGTTCATCGATTCATAAATAAATTGGGGCTTTAAACAAATTTAGAAACATGTTAGTAATTAAACAATGTTAGTTAACTGCCTTGTAAAATAGCACAATATTATAAATATTTTTTTAAGTCATACAAATAGCAACCATAATTAAAAAAGTAGTATTTAAAACGAGTGTATTCCCCTTTCGTTTTGGTGACAAATTCATATCTCCTACTTTACTTTCTTTTTGATATCATATATACATTCGCTGTTATTTTCTGCCTTTTTTCTGGTTTATTTAACGAGCATTTTCTGTCCGTTCCATTTTTTGCGACTTTTGTAGCGTTTTACAGTCATATGAATATTAAATTAAATTTTTTCCCCACCCCATTGCCATTGAGATTGCGAGAGTGCTCTAGGCCAGCAAGGAAAGGTGAAGGTGATATGGGGTACATAGGCGTTGTGGAATGGGAAGAGTACGTTTACGTATTACGTATACGTATCATCTGCCTTGACTTTCCCCTGATAATGGCATAAAAGGGCACAAAAGCAATGGCCGAGGAGCTGCCACATGTGCAATTCATCAGAGACGGCTATCCGCTTTTAATCAAATGCAAAGTTGACCAAGTTGAGGGGAATGCGGAGGGGACAGGACACACCATTTGACGACGGCCGACGTCTGCAGCCTCAAGATGGCAAATTGTGCCGCACCGGCCTTCAATTGCCGACCTGCAGGGCCAAATGCAAAGCAGTTAGAGACGCTGGCTCTAGTTTCTGGCTACTGGCAACTGGCTACTGGCAACTGGCAACTGGCTACTGGCTGATGGCTGCTGGCGGCTGACTGCGTCTGATATGGCTCACTTCTGTCATTTATCTTCTTTTACGGCTCGAAGGGGCGTGGCCCTGGACCATTCAATTCCAGAGGTGCAAGGCAGCTGCTGAGCAACGCACGAGGAACGCATTCAAACGCAGATGTACTGAAAAGTGCAGGCTTACACAGCGAGGAATATGGCGATTAACTTAAAGTTGTAAAAAGTGAAGAAAGAGAATAAAAAAATTTTAACGAAGTGATATGAAATCCTTGCTGAACTATTTAACTTCAATTCAAGGTACCACGGACTTCATTAGGGCTTTGAATTTACTTACAATGGTCTCTAAATGTATAAAACAATATATTTTTAAGCTGGAACTATTACTCATTAATTTCTTTGATAAATTAATTTTCTTGGTTTAAATTTAAGTATTGTAAGCGTGGTGTGCTTATTTTTATCATCTTACTGGCACCACTTTTTTGTTTGAAGCTAATGCGTTTTGTTAAGACTGATTGTTTTTAATTCCCTAAGTTTTATATAAAAAGGTGTCACCATATAGAAATTTGTATTTCCTTGAAAACTTTTAGATCATTTTGACTATAATATTTTAAAAATAATATAGTAACTATAAAATAAAAATCGATAATGTGGAACACAAATTTTAGTTTGTCGCAAAAGTTGACATTTTCCCTGCTGGTGCATTTCTAAACACATCTACCACCACACGTGAAAATCTGCACATGCCTGTGCATATTTGAGATATTGTGTTTGAACTTTGGCTTTGGTTTTCGACTCCTTTCGCCTTCTGGCATGGGAAGTGCAATTGTTGGGGCTGCCAGCTTGACAAACGCACAGTCGCCAGGATTTACTGGCACTCACACCCGTGAATAGTCCCGGACACACAGTGATTGAAAAATTTGCACAAATTTTTAGCTGTGCTGCCATTTTGACACTTTATCCTGGGCCAAATCGAGTTCCCCCACCCCGTTCGTAATAAACTTGACACTTCACCGGGCATGCTCCATTCCGACCCAACCAATACCATGTGCTTATAAAATTTATGCTCTCTTAAGGAATTCATTCAAAACTTGACAACAAAATGCACTTTGGCTTAACAACAAAAATCCATTGGAGCGGATTTTCGATTTGAGTCGAACATGAAGCAATTAAATTGTTGCCCAGCCAACAGATTTATAATTTAATTTTTTCCCCATTTTTCTCGTCTCTCCGGATTTTTGACACAACGTTCGATGACATCATGTGCACGAAGTTTTGAATCTGTGTTTTGAACAATTAAATGGCGAATTCGTGTTATGCAAATGGCCAGCGAACGTGCCTAAAATCGCAATTAGTGCAATTGCAGTGCAGGATGGCGCATAAAATATCAGTAAAAAGTGCTTTGGATAACAGAAATCCTGGTTGGCCGTTTGCCAAATGGGTATTTGTCGTAAGGATAATCGAAAGGCGCCAATTAATGGCTACCAGTTTGTGGGATTCCAGCTCCGGTTCTGTGTGTCTGTGGTGCAATGATAAGGATTCAGTGGACAGTAATCCCTGGCAGGCGAAATAGACGACGATTGTGGCAAAAACGATGGTTTTATGCAAACAAAATAATAGCAACAAAATGTAGCTGTCAATTTAGTGGAAATTTGATATGAACAATTTCATTATTCACTTATTTAATATTAGAATTTAGCTCTTGGTCTTAACTTTAACTTTTTTAAGCATCACCCTTTGTTTATGATCTACCTCGGATATCCTTTGACGTACTTTCTCTGGCATTCCATGCAATATAATCAAAAATTGCAATGATGATACATGTTTAAGCAAAAGCCTTTTTTTCTAGAGATATTCAAAGGTCCAAGGGGTTTCTTTCTCATAGTGGACTTTTGCATCCGCCTTGATCAGTGGATATTCGAAACCTATATTAAGTAGTGCTCATCATCAGTTGGAAAAGCAAGTAGCCAGCGAATTGTGTTTTAAGCACTAGCAAAGGAATAGACTGATTAAAAGCCATTTATTTACGTCTTTAATTCTTTATATTGTGCTAACACGAAGTGAAAAATTGAAAATGTAATATCTGTCTAATTAGTTCAACAACAAAATGTTGCTTAAAATGCTCATAGGTTCGATGTCACTTGTTTGTTGTTGCCCATTCTTTACCATAGCAATAATCGTAATTGATAATATTAATAACATTCGATCGAAAACAATTATGGAAAGAGCCATTGAAATGGATAATAACAATAATTTAAAATTGTTTTCCTTTTAAAAAAATTAAATTTAATTCGACAATCAAAGCCACAAATGCGCAAATTGCACGGCAATTTTTTCCTCCTTTATTTTTTCCACCTGGGATCAATGGAAATACCTGTGGCTGTGCGGGAGAAAGCTAATACAGCAAATTAATTACAAATAATTCGCACAGAGGCTTCCCACGCAAACGCCACCCACATTTTTGTTTGTATTGTTGCGGCCTGATTTTTAATTTATGCGCACCGCAGTTGATTTTCATATAAAATCCGATTCGCAGCCTCGCAAATCCACCGCAACTTAAAAGCTTAAAACGCCGTGCCAGCAATGACTGCTCGGGTCCTGCGCTCCCGCCTTTTGGTCCTGCCAACATCCTGTGGCTCGGTGCCAAATCCCCGACCAAGGCTTATAAATTTTAATTAAAATGCGACGCCAGATGGGAGGGCATCAGCAACAGCATCAGCATCAGCATCAGCATCATCAGCAGTGAACAGTCAGCACTGGGCATTGCGTGTCCTCGTGGCGCTTATTTCCGCTTACATTACAATTACATTTGCCTTTGGGCCAAGTCGCATCCGCTATCCCAGGGTCACCAAGTCCATTCCGGCCACTCTGGCTATCGATATGGCCAGGTGCTAAGTCCGAGGTCGCTGCACAAATCCGCATTTTGATGGCAAACTCATTGCAGCGGTGCTGAGCGCCAGTTTCAAGGGCTCTTAGCCAACAAAGTGAATTCATTTTTATCACGATGTTGTACAGTTAAGAAACGATACAAATTTTTTATTTCAATTTTAATTAATTTTTTTTTCGATTTAATTTGCTTTATACTCTATATTTATATTAGTAAGCTCGAAAAATGACATAACATAAATAAATAATACTGTAAGTGATAAGAATTTTATGATAAAATGTCAATAGAGTTTACCCAATTCACTGAGACATAAAAATGTATTAATAAAAGTTTTATTCTTACGAAAGAACTATTTACTAATGGTAAGAAGCAGAACGACTTAATTAAAGAATTTGTTCTTATATAGTATAAGTTCTTAATTAAACTAAGGGTTTTCGGCAGTATCGCAATACTTAATCAAAAGTTTTTATATTCTCCAGCTTAAATCGCACTAGTAATAGAGAGAGAGAGAGAGAGAGAGAGAGCTAAAGTTCACTTTCTACCCATAGAGTTTTCCTCAATTATTACTGCCAAAAATGTTTGCCCACTCGACAGCTGGTGCCTAGACTCAGTTTTTGGGTTTCCGGCAGGAAAAACATTTGGAGAACTGCACTAATGACGCAAATCGGCCTAAATAACAAGTTGCTGGCATTTGGTCAACAAGTAGAGATTGGAGCTGTGGGCGCAAACTGCGTTGCCAGCTCAGCAGACTGTTTTTTTCTCAATTTCCACCACTTACCCACCCACTAGCGTCTCTAATGAGACGCAATGAAGGGGAGCGACGGTATCTGGGACTTGGTCGCGAAATGGAAATTAAAATGCATCCCCAGCTGCCGCAGTGGGCGGTCAACTGGGCGTGGCAGGCTTGATTTAATCAACTTGATCCGGAGAAAATTCAAATCGCTTAAAGCCAGTCACTTGAAAATGAAGCTGGTTGAATACTGTTTTGAAAACTGCAAAAGCTTTGAATTTAACAATAAACTCAATGATTTTTCATTAGGAATTAGTTTAGTCCATGTTGCATACATATTATTGTTAGTCTGGAGGTCTTATGGATTTATTACGAAAGACGACGTTCGTAATTTATATTGCTTTATTTAAGACACCTTTATGATATAGGTAAAAACCTTAGTGATTTCTTCCTATAATAGGTTATGAAAATCATTCTTAAGATTTTTTTATAAAAAACCAAAAATGCAGTTGCCTGTGCTTTTGATGTCACATTCCATTTGGGAGTCGATTCAGAGTTAAGACTCAGTTTTAGCCAAAATGTCTATGAGGTTGAACGACGATGCTATGCGTCAGTTCCGGGTGGCCAAGGTGTTCCAGGAGACGGACGAGCACAAGCTCTCCTTGGACTTTTCCGTGGACGGACGACGACTGCTAACCTGCGACCACGCCGCCCTCTCGATCTTCAACTGCACTCGTCAGGCGGTCCTTTGCCAGGTGCACATGCACCACTACCTTCCCGAGGTGGCCTGCTTCACCCAGCAGGACACTCGCGTCCTGCACTCCAGCTCAAAGGTAAGAGCCTTCAAAGAAGCAGTCGTGGCCTAAGGTACACAAAGGCAAGGCTTTGAGCCATGAGGTGAATGGGTCGAGGTAGAAAATGCAGCATTCACTTTAATAAATTATTGAAAGAGTCTACAGGAAACTCGGTTCTAAAATTTGTTTTTTTAAAAAAGTTATAACAATATTCAATTTAAATTTTTGGATATTGGTTTTAGAAAAAAAATGGTACATCACTTTATATTTGAACATTTGGATATAAAATAATATTCAATTACAGCTTGTGAAATGTATAATTTTGAAAAAAAAAAAAGTTAAAATTAATATTAAATCCTCATCAAAACCTTTTTGACAGCATGACTTTTCCATTCGTTGTCTGGATCTGGAAGCCCGTAGTTGCGTACGTTTATTCAGTGGACATTCAAAGGTTGCACACAGATTGGTCTCGCAGCCGGGAAACGATAATGTGTTCGTTAGCGTCGGACGGGATGATCAGGTTTATGTGTGGGACTTTCGTGCCTCCACGCACATTTATCACCTGAAGCAGCTTGTAAGCCCGCTGTGTGCCTTTGATCCTGCCGGCTTGGTCCTGGCCACCAGTACGGATACGGAACGGATCGAGATACACGATGTGCGGATGCTGGGCGAGCAGCCGTGCCAGAAGTTCGTCTATCAGGTGAACGACAAGGCCAAATGGACGCAGTTGCAGTTTGCGCCTAATGGCAAGAGCATGCTGCTCGGCACGGATCACTCGTGGTGCTTCAGTGTCTCGGCCTTCGACGGGACCTTCCAGCAGTCCTTCTCGGGCTATTCGAATCAGCAGAGGCAGCCGCTGGATGCCTCCTACACTCCCGATTCGCAATTCATACTTTCCGGAGCTGATGAGGGCCGGATTCATATTTGGCGGGCTGCCGACGGATATCCTGTGGCCGTGCTAAAAGGCAACAATGTGGGTCCTGTGCGATGTCTGCGGTTCAATCCAAAAGCCACCTTGTTTGTGAGCAGCGATCTGCTGTTAGTCTTCTGGATGCCCATGGCCAATGGAGTGTACGATTGGGTGGATCGCTTGAAGCCAGGCGAAACGGTTTCCATCAAGGACGAAGAGGATCAGAAGGAGGACCAGCCCATACAGATTCACAAGCCCATTTGCATGCCCAAGCCAAAAGTGGATGTGTATTCGCTGAGGAAGAGGCTAAACTCCAGCAGTTTGGCAGCCAAAAAAAGAGCTTGCTCAGAGTCGGAGGATCTTGCCAAAACCCAAAATAAGGAGGACCTTGAGGATGGTGAAATAACCGATGACTAAGAATTGTACAGATCTGTCCTTCGAATAAATATAAGGGTTATCAATCAACTCTAGGTCTTGGCCAAAAGTTTGCCGACCAACTCGCTGCAGGAGACCACCCAAACTTCCTGGACAGTTCTTATGCTTTCCCGACACAAATTGTTGAGTTTCACCAGCAAATTGCACAGCTGGCTGCGTTCGACTCCAAAAAGAAGGTGGTCCGCAAACTTTTGACCAACTCTTGGGTGTGTGTGTGTGTGTGTATAGTCAGTCGTATACTGAGGCACTGACAAGCGTTTCATTTAGTTTCTGTGGCCATAAAAAGAATTCCCTCTCTTTTAATATTAATGAAATCTTTTGCGGAAAAGCCCCCAAAAAGAACACACAAATTGCTGTTGAACTTTCTGAAGTTGTTACTCCAACTGAATATGTGAATGGTTGCTCTTGGTATTCTCCTCTTAAACTTTCCCTGAGCGTTATGAAGTTTTGAATGTGCCTCATCATGCGATTGCACAAAATCTGCACAAGCTGTGAACCACAGTCAAAAGCATGTTTTATGTTCTTGTACTTAACTTGTTTTAGTATGCGGCCAAGAATATATGTTAGTTTATTGAAAGAGAACCAGTTTGAGGTCACTTTTGAGAAATATGTGGCATCCAAAATACAATTATAGCATTGATTTTTTAAATGCTTGTATAAAATTAATATTAATTTGTAGGTAATTATTTTTCCTAGACTGAACTACTTTTTCAGTTAAAAAAAAGCATTGAGTTAATTAAAAAAATAAAGTTATAATTTGTGTTTTTTGTGCAAACAACATTTTTGAAATTAGGAAGTCAACAGAAATGCATTTAAAAAATAAATTTAATGTCAATTTAAAGATATACAATATTAATAGTTATACAAAGAAATCTTTTCCTTGTTGTGTAAAAAAATAATTGGATTAGTCCCATTTATTAAAATAGTTTTTCACGTAATTCCCATCGTTATGGCTTTTAAAGTTACTTCAAAGCGAAACTATGTAAAATCTTCATTCATTTTTATTTCGTTGATAAATATAGTTGAAATCTTAACTGTCAAAATATGAATTTTATCTTTGTTATGAAAGTTGTCCCATTTTATTTATTCTTAGTCCTATTTGACCTTGTTGCTGGACTAAAAGATCGTGAGTATTATAAATATAAAACACCTTAACTTAAATTCCATAAACTATTCGTTGTTTTAGCCATTTGTGGACTTAAGCCAGCTGACGATGTATTTTATGTAAAGGAATGCTATAATAGTAGTAAACTGTTCTCATATTATGTGGATAAAAAGGAATGCTTAGACTTTATTTATAGTGGCTGTGGTGGCAATAAAAACAGGTTTGACAGTAAAGAAAAGTGTGAGGCCAAGTGCAAGGAATAAATGACGAATGATTTTGCCTTAATAAAACAACTTTTAGTTATCTGAATAATAGTAATTGATCGTTTTCTAGGCCTTACATATTTTTAAAGTAATTTCGTGGTGAATCCCAAAAAAAATACAAGATTTAATTTATACTGTTTTAATAGGACAATGTGCTTTCGCATTTTAATTAATTTTCCCTTAACTTTTTGGGCTGAAGTAATTACTTCCATGCAGGCATTGCGACTTAAAGCAATAATGAACTGCTGAGATCTTCAATGTTTGATCAAAGTTGCGCCGTAGGTGTGCAACTGCTAGACACTCGTAAAGTCTACAAACTAACTAAATACACTCCTGCTGAAGGAGTTCTTTGGGTGTTGCAGTAGGGCAAACAGGAACAATAACAGCGGCAGCCGAGAACCTCTCATTATGCTAATTAAGTACAAAAGTTGGTAACTGAAACTAGGCAAACATAAATTAACGCATGCGACAAATGTGCGGGAAGAAGGATTAAGTTGGAGCGTTGGGAGTCAAGCAGAGCGAAAGAGAGAGAGAGGGGGAGAGAGAGTGGAAAATGAGCACCGGAAACGGATGTCGGCGTGTCGCCATTTTGATTTGCATGGACATTGCCATTAGCGCGACAAAGAGCCCCTAACGAGCATCCTTTGAAGCGCGTAAATGGCTTTCTCATCTCGCCAAATGCGGCGAAAGGAGAAATTAATTAAAAAGGTGGACACGAAATGTAAAAAGAAACGAGCCGGGCGCGTGACTAAATTGTAAAACAAATCCCAAATGGCCCCGACACATAGTCGCGTCCTTTTTCCCTTTTCCTATATAGTAAAGTAGATGCACGGACCACAAATTCCTTTTCCTATGCCCCATGGCTTTCTGTCCAATGACGCAAGAATATTTAATGCGTTTGGTAATAAAAGCGGATTTCGTTGACCCCAAGCACTAATCTTGTTTTAGGGCAATCGAATTGGGAAAGCAAGTTTTAGAGATGAGCGGGCAAGGTTTTTGCGAAATGAACAAAATATTTGTTCTATAATTAAATAGAAAACTATTTATTAAAAATTGAATTACAGAATATATCAAAAAATATTTTCAAATAACTTTAAATATTTTGAGATTGAAAATCTTTTGTAGTAATTTTTTATTTTAAAATAGGCTTTTTCTATTAGCCTCAAACTGTGATTACTAGTTCTAGTTTTAAATTATCAATTTATACAAATAGCTTAAGATCTAAAAATTTATATTTTGACATTAAAAATCTTTTTTTCTATAACCAAACTAAATATACTTATTTCACTTATTTCCTTTAAAAACTGTTTATATTTAATTTGCCTTACGCTGTCATCTCTAGTTCTAGTTAAGTCCTACTGTGTTGGCCCCTTTTTATGAACTACAAAGCCAGAAAAACTTTTAGCGAGCTAAAATTATTGAGGAATTTTATGTACTCGAAAAGGCAATCGGTTGCATGCATCGGCCAACAGGAAACAACAAGTTTGGCTTGTAAAGGCACATGATTTAAAGTCTGAATTCTTGTTATTATAAAGAATCAATTTGACCTCAATACCTCGACGGGTTCAATGGGTGACTACAAGTTGAGACCTGGGGGGCAAACTTTTAAATTACTCAACGGGCACTTTCAATAATGGCTGGTCCTACGTAGTCAGAGCAAAACTTTGGCCAACTGCCGCACAAAATTTACTCCTTCAGTCGACATTGACTTGTCCGCCTTTTCTTCGCCATTTCCCTGTTTTCCCAGCCGCGCTTTCGACAAAAGTTGTGTTAAAGTTTTCTTTTTTTTTTCGTTTCACAGGACGCGGGGCAGGATGTCTATTTCCGCCGCTGGCGTAAAAATAACAATCGACTTGCAGTTTGAATACGTCAGAGCGAGGGGCGAAACAAGGTTCCACATTCCCAGGGCCCCAGATTTGTTCTACCCTGCTTTGCTCTCTCTTTTATTTTTTTTTTTGTTATTTTTGTAAGTCGGCGGGATTAAGTGGATTTTTAAGTGGCAGCAGCAAAAGTGGCCACGGGCTAGGGATTAGGCCCAATGTCCCAGGCGACACAATTACACGCACGTTGTTGCTTCACCCTCGTTTGACTTACTTCAGAAGTGTATTTGAATTGGACCATGAATAGCACGTGCTAATGGCTGTGGATTCGAGATCTGAAGCATTCCCTTGGAAGAACTTTTCACAGGTATACGATCTTTAATTTATATCTAAAAAAATTACCTTTTTCTTACAGTTTTAAGTTATAAAACTTATTTATTACCATTAACATAGTTTTTGCTCTTTTCTCTAACGGCGGCTAAACTTTAATCCTTTTTAATAACTGATATCTTTGCCTTCCTATAAGTTTCAAGTTAAATACTTTACATTTAAGTGAATGTGCTTTTGAATCGATCTTAAGTAATAAACAACCTTGAAATTTAATATATGCTTTCAAAGTTTCTTTCTATGAATGTAGGCTAGCACTATACGTTAAATAATTACCTTTAGTACTATTTTAAGTAAAGAACCTTCCCTATTTCATCCTGCATTTTCAAGCCTATATATACATAGCTCATAAATTTCCTGATCTTGTTCCTTTTTCTTGTAGTTCAGTTTTTCTTGCCAATCAATCGCAAAATATATTTACATAAACTGTGAGCATTGTGAATCCCGTTTGGCTACCCGAGGCGATGGCAAAGAGGACTCGGCTTGGTCAATACGCATCATTGGTTGATCCCTTCTGAAACTATAATACTACCCCAATCTGTGTGGCATAAAATTGACGACACTGCAACAGTTTTTGAGATTGCTGTGGCTTCAATTTGTCCTGTGATTGCCTCAAATTAACCGACCATTTGGTCGACCCTTTCCTTTCCGTTGTTCCCATCCATTTGAATGCGAATATGAGTTCTAGGGAGTGGGGACAATTGCGACGATTTGGCAATTGTCCATTCTGGCCTGTCCGTGTGCCTTCCATGGCTGTCAGCCAGTTGTCAGTCACTCAATCGGGCGTTCAATCAAGCAATTTTCACACAAACACTCGGTAAAAGTCGCGGACCTGGGAACCCTAAACTTTGATTTGCAATTTTGACACGCCGCTTAAATTGGAATTTTTGCTTTCAGCTTTGTAAAGTGGCCAAACGACATCCCGTAAAGGAAGGATTGTCTGAAAGAATAGTGATGTGTGCAAAAAGAACTAGTTGTTGTATGAACGGTATTTAATTTTTGCTGTTCTGGAATAGTATATTTGGGCACCTTTAAAATTTATTTCAAAAATTAAGTATTGATTCCTTTCTACTTTTATGTAATGCTTGCCTTTATTGGTTTCGAATTCATTTAGTAATTACTCAAAATACGATTTTTTCTTTATTTATTTTCCTCCCATTTTCAGTACACTTATAGCCCCCAACTAGTTCCAAAATTTCCAGCTCCAACGCCAAAAGGCATTTGTGCTCTGTTGATTCGTTTTTAAGTGACGCTTTTGGCCTTTTGGCCAAATTCGCGGCAGCCAAAGGTTTGTTTTTTGTGCGTTCCCAGCTGCATCATGGCGGTTTCGAAAGGAATAGGGGAGCTAGAGGTACTCATGTACAGCTCAAAGGATTTTTCAGGACTCAAGAGTACACTGAAGTTAATATCAATATATAACATTTAAAAAGGATTTTGATGTAGCATAAATGGAATTGCGTTTTAATGACTTTCAAATGAAATTACCTTTAAAAAGTATTTTATCAAGATATGTGAAAGGATTCTAGGTAACAAAGGTTAGATACTTGTTAAAAATACTAATTTTTTAGATAGTTCTAATAAATCTGTATTATTTTTAAACCAATGCCTTATTGCTTGAGATATTTTCTTTATTTATTAATTAATCTTTATTTTTATTTTTCCATTAACTAAATGACAATGTGATGATAATTTAATTTATTTTTATCCGTGTAAGAATTAGCCCTTAGGCCAGGAGGCTCGGAGAGCGCCGGTATCGCCATTGCCATCGCAGTTGCAATCAGCTTAACAGTAACTAGAAAATAAATTGCATTCGATTTTGTTGGTACTGCTGCTCTGCTGCTGCTGTTTTCGACCCTCCCCCCGCCGTGTTTTTGTGTTCTGGTCTTATCTGCCGGTTTTGGCCAGTTCTGGCCGGGACTGGGCTTTGGCCAAATGCGTGATTGGCCAGCGCGGAAAACAGACGCAAACAAAGCCTGAGAAGAGACGAGCCAGCAAAACTGCCAGCTAAGTGAAAAATGCGCTTTGGGTAACAAAACAAAACACGGCCAGAGAGCAACAAAAAAAAAATTTTAAAAAAAGAAGGAAATGCGGAAAAGCGAAGGGATTTCTGCTTTTGTTTTCTTTTAGCAGGCTTTTAATGCGATTTTTTCTCTCTGAGGGGTGGCGATGGGTGTTGGGCAGTGATGCAGTGATTTTACCCGACATCGGTGGGTTACAAATGTTGCCGCATTAAATAATGCCAGAAAGTATTTTTTAATTGAATTCTGCTTTCGCTTCGTCCTGCGCTTTTTGCCGGTCTTAGTGTATTTTTCACTCCGGACAGCAATTGATATGGACGATGTTCTGGCCATTACTTTGTGGGCCACCGCAGTAATAATCATTAATTATTAAGATTGCTGTAGTAGGATGTCTTCAAAATTATAAGAACAATTCTAAAGACTAAACTTAATAAATATAAAAATATATAGAGTTTAATTTTAATAATTAAAGAAAACTAACAGGTTCTGTTAATAAATATCCGATATAACGTTTTGTAATATAATTAAGTATAGGACATATTAATCAAAGTCCACCTTGTTCATAAATTACTTCTAAAGTGGAGTGTAGGTTTATTTTTAAAAACAATTAGCCCCTAATCAAAATCATTTGTGAAGACTGGTTTCCTTTACCGAAATTGCCTTTTTGGTTATTTTATTTTTGTTTCTCTTCCCCTGTTTTTATGACCCTCTAGGGACCATTTTTACCATTTTTGATTTGAAATACTTGAACATTTTTTGTTAGAAAAGAGGTCACAGTTCGCGAGCGCTATGAAAAACAGGTCTTGCTTGAGTGTTACAGAATAAATCAAATTTTATTACCAGAGCGGCAATTATTTTGACCGCAGGAATCAAAACGAGTGGCAAACGAAGGACAGAGTATTCGGTTTGTTTTGCATAAATAAATGCAAAGCTACAAGTGACGGCCACAAGCGCGACAAGATTTATGTGCGACAGCCACCACCCACCGAACTTCAGTTTCCGACTGTGACAACGCTGCGTATGAGATATTTTAATTACAATAATGGCTTGTCAATTACCAGACAGCCTGACACCGTGTCAGTTTTTGGTCGTTGTGCCATCCATCTCCCATGCTCTAATTAATTACTTCCCGAAAATGTCATTAATTTTGATTAGAAAAAAATACAAAATTGGAATTGAACTTAATACAATTAATTACGCAGAATTGTTTGTTCTTTAATGAAAAGAATTATGTAGCATTTTAAAATATTTTAACTAAAGCGTACATAAACTAATTAAAACGATCCATGAAGCACAGATATAAAAATAGGCGGCTCCAGTGGGTGTGGTTCTGTGGAGGCGTGACACTCGCACACGCAGCCAGTTTTTAAGCCTTATTTGTTAACTTTAACGCTCGGGGCTGGCTGCGAACCACACAAAAAGGCTAGTGAAGTAAACTAAGGACGATGTGGGCGTGGTCGAAGGGGTAAACTCACGTGGGGTGATTTTTTCACTGAAAATAAAAACTTATGATTTTACTGGTACACAAATACAAAATACTATGAAAAGTTTTTGCTTTAACAAAATGGCTATTTTTATTCATTTAACTTTTAACTAATAATAGTTTTTATTTTATATATTGGTGTTACTTTATTTAAAGTTACATTTTTAGCTAACGTACCTACAGTTTTAGAGGTGTAGTTTCGTGTGTAAAATATTTAGATGCGTGGTTTGTTTGTTGTGCGCGGCAAATGAAGTGCGCTTGGTCCTGTGCACAAAAAGCAAAGCCAAGCATAATTGCCAGTTGCTCTGTGGAAAGAGGCGTGGATTATGTGGTGAATGAAGGGGGCTGAGGGATTTTTGTGGGCGTTGTACCCCGTCACAATAAGGTGAAAATAATAAAAGCCCGGCTAGCATGCCTTGACATGCGATATTCAATTAAAGCCTAACCGCAGAGCGCTTTGCCTTATGAAGATATTAGAAAAGTTGTTAGAAAGAGTTGTAGATGTAATAATTGGAAATTCCAAAATTTATGTACATTATAAATATATTTTTTGACAGTGTTAAAAATTACTACTCACTCAGAGACGTTCTTAAAGTGTTATTCGAATGTTACTTAATTTCAATTATTTCCGATCAAAATATAAAATATATATCCACAACAAAATTTTTATGATCAGGGCTTTGTCAAATAAATTTTTTTAAAAAATTGTTTAATGTCTTTAAATGTCAAAAAGGTTGAGCTTTTTATATTTCGTTTAAAATTTATTACCGTTGACATACAAATTGATTTTACTTACCATTATATTCAGCTTAAAATATGTTTTCCCATCACCGTTTCCGCAGTCGACCTTAATTTAACATATTTAATATGAAAATCACGTCCCACATTCCCCAATCAAGGTGACGATGCCAACTTTATTAGGCATAAGCCACATGAGCCCTCTTTTTCAGGCCCCCATATTTTCGGAAATACTTCTCCAATCAATCTGACAGCTGCTTAAAGTTTTCCCAGGCTTTTTATGTGCATCCTTTGTTTACTCTGCTTTGCTTCACCAAAGCAAAATTGTGAGTGCGTGTGTGGCTTTGTTTATTTTTACTGTCAGTTGTCAATTATTTTTATTGGCAGGTATTATTTTGTGTACACATTTGTATGCAAATTGTCAAGCACACGCAATTGGAAGGAGTCGCAAGGGGCTAAAAACCGGGGGCTTATGGCATTTATAAATTGCGGCATCAAAGTTATGTGTGTGTGTGTGTGAAGTGAGTGTGCGTTCTGAATTTCAGAGTGTGTGGGTGCGAGTGTGTTTGTGTTGTTATGTGTGTGTTTTGTGGGATCGTCTAAACTTGCATGTCATTGCCGCTTAATTTGTTTGCTCGGTTTCTGTTTGTCGTTCGTCGCTGCCGTTGGTACACAGATTTTGCGGCGGGCAAACTAGTGGGTGGGTGCGTCAAATAAAAACTTTATGATTTAATCTCGCAGCGGCAAAGTGTTGCACACTTAAAAAAAAGCATAAATAGAACACACAGAGAAGACAAAGATAAAATAATTGTGAACACTTAAAAATATGTTGCTGTATACTATATCACATCATAACAGTTCAAATATTATAAAAATCAAATGTAGAACGAAGTATACAAATTCAGCACGATAAACCACCTAAATCTTGGAAGGTTGTATTAAATTAAATATTTTATACTCTAAAAGGTATCAGTTAGTTTTATCAAAAATAAAATAATTAAAATATTAAACTACTGATACTTTATATAAATCTTTCTCAATCTTTCTGATTTTGTTTTTTTTACGCTTTTCTGGTGTTTTAGAAAATGTTCGGGCTCAAAAGGGATAATTTGAAGAGCTGAAACAGTGGTATGAAAAAATTTAAGAAAAAAACGTGATTTGTTTTTTTCAGAGCCCAGAAATCCATGATATCTCCCACTCAATTCCCCTGAAGCGAAGCTGTCTTTCGCCGTTGATGGCGACTTCATTAATGCAGACGCATCTCTTCAGTGGCAGCTTCGGGCACACGGTGTATTGCACTCAACTACTCATCCAACCACCCAACCACCCACTCACCCAACAAACCACCCAACCACCCAGCACACCACCCACTCACAATCGAACCACGCAACAAATGCGTATCCACTGCAGGGGGGTAAAATAGGGTGGGCATCGATTCCGATTGCCAGTGGCAAACAATTTGCAATGCAACAGGAAACAATTGAATTTGCATAAAACACATGACCATCGTCAGTTCGCCGGTTTTGCACTTCGCTCATTGGGTCCCTGCGCCATTTCATGGACTCCTATCACATGCACACTGGGGGTTTTTTGCCGAGGATTGAGGGGGTTGGAGTGGTCGGGGCAGGATCACGACAACGATTGTTGCTCGGCAAGGATTTGCCACCGGATGCCTGATGGCTTCTTAATGAGCCGCGCTGCCCCAAACTCGAAACTTGAAAGGGTCAGCAGTGAGCCACTGGGAAACAGTTGCCCCTAATATCAATTGGCTGCACAGTGGTGAGATTTATAGAATAACACGCAAATTACAGTCATTTTACAGTGCATACAAATATATATTATAATGAGTATCTTAACAGTTATTAAAAAGTATACAAACCATGTGTAGTATGCATAGACATTTACTTGAACTATTCCGCTTTCTTATCAATGTATTTAATTTGTTTTTTTTTATTAAACATAGATTTTAACAGCCATTTTAATTGAATTTAAATATGTTTTTAAACTCACCTTTCCCACTTTTTCTTTTTATTTTTCAATAATTTTCAGGCACGCACGGACCGTATAATTTTTGCACTCCACTTTCAATTTTCTCCGCCCTTCCCCGAGGTCTCTGTCTGCTGATGTCATTTTCATTATTTGTATGGAAAAACGATTTTACGGATTTACTTTCAACTTTGCGCTGTACCGCCAATTGGCCGCTGGCAATTCCAATGCAAATTGCGAATTTTGTGCTGTCAAATTAAATTACATCGACAAGTCAAAAAGGACGTCAGCCGACAAAACAATTGGGCAACAAAGTGCAAATCATTTTCCAAACAGAAACAACAAAGGAGGGATTTCCGGGGGCTTGAAAATCGAGCTCGATTTTCCCAGGGGTAGGAGAACCCGCCCTATTTGCTTACAAGAGAAGCGCGGAAAGAAGTCTCAATCTCAATATGCAGAGAAGTCGGTTTTCTCGGGAGATCTGAGCGGTTAATTAGCACTTTTGATGATTTATGCGGGGCAAAGTCTTATAAAATATGTTGCTCCAAGTGTGGGAGTATGTGATAAGAAAATATGCTTAGCGTTTTGTCGGGTTCAGATTGCGTCCGTTGGCACAAAAGTTAATGTCCTGTAACGACTCTGAAAGGGTTCTTCGGGCTGCTCATTTTGGGCCAATGCTGTTGCGGCCCATTTAACACTATAAAATTATTATCGTGCATATTCGAAAGGGCTAGCCCGAAAAAAGTGAAAGAATAAATTTCGGGCCTTCCCCCAACAAAAAAAAGTTAACAAAAGGCAAGGAGAAACCATTAGCATAAATTCTAGAAGGATGGCTAAAATTCTGGACTGGTCTGTGGGCCTTTTTATCAAGTTGTCGCCGCAATAAAAACGTTTAGTAATTATCGGGGAAAATAAAAAAAAGGTTTAAATGACGGAGAAGGCAACTCAATGTGCAAGCTTGTCGATAAGCGAAGAACTCATACTCATAACGCCCTAACGTCTAGTAATATAGTTATCAAATAGCTTGCGTGTGTGTGTCAGCACGCTAGTTTTCCTTCATGTTCGTCTAACTCTTTCGATAAGTTCAAAGGACAACATTTTTCAGATGCTACAGTCTAAAAAAAAGTGGAAACTTTAATAAATATAAGAAAAAAACTAAGAAATCCACACTCATCATTAACCTATATCTTCAGATTTCACAACGAATTAACACAGTATTTTACCCTAATAGGATAATAGTTTTTTATTTAACACTTAAACGACAAAATCAAAGAAAACAAAAGTAAAGTTCAGCTAAAGTATTTAAAATCATTATCAACTGTTAGAATTAAGATATATATTATCTCATAAATAATTAATCTTTAAGTAAATAGTTTAAGATAAAACAGTTCCTCTTTTAGTAAAGAAATCTTATTAATTTTTTCCATAGCGAATTTGTATATAAGTAACATGGTTGTTATTATTTAAAGTTAGCAAAATAGTACGATTTTTAAGAGTGTGGTAAAGAAGAGATGGAAAACGAAGGAAGCATTGAAAAGAGAACTTTACAAAATTGTCTGGTAAGGCAAAGTTGTCAAGGGTTGATGTCCTCGCACGCACACACGTGCCCAAACACATCCACCCTCTCAGACATACACACACACACCCTCACCACGCCTACAACTGCTAGAAGGTGTTCGATTTTCTTGTTAGCGGCAGGTTTTTCGAATTGCCAAACGACAATATCCATCTATACTGCCGTGGAGCAGAATGTGGAAGTTGGAAAGTAAAATGTGTAAAAGGAGGCTGATGAATAGAGGGCGCAATGGTAGGAGAATGGGTTCTGTCTGACACCTCAGGCCTCATAACGAACCAATTGAGTGCAATTTCAGAATATTATTACGTATACGTAGTGTGCGCCTCGCTTGTGGTTTGCGGGAATAGTTGACAACTTTATGGTCGCTTGACTCGCCTAATGAGTTTTCCAGCAAATTTTAATTGAATTGAGGTGCAAAGGAGAAGGTATAAAATATGAGAAAATATATTCAGCGCCAAAGAAGCAAGTTCGTCTTTAAAGCTTGCTTGTAAAGTTGCTTCGGTATTCCTTTGCCGACGAAATCAATTTTTATGGAAGAATAGGTAAAAGGTAAAAATACCGAGACTGTTGAAAAAAAAATATATTGCCCAAATTCGCATTTAATTTGGGTGATATAGAATAAATTAGTATTTAAGAGTTCCACTTTTAAAAAAAAGGTTGGCGAGAAAGAAAAATTCTTATATATAGAAGGTAGAAACCACATAAAAAATGATTTTTAAAGAAAACATTTCATTGTCTGGAATTATTTTTAGAACCCAAAATCAATTTAAACTGCCATATTGTTTTACAATAAGTATAAGGTTTCGATTGAATTTTTTCGATGCCCATATTTCATATTACGCTTAAGGCTTTGCACGTTTCCAGCTGATATTGAAAAGCATTAGCTGGGGTTTAAGGCAATGTCCTTCTTGCTTTTCCTCTTCCGTTGTCATTTTGTGGCATACCTTGCGGCGCCAGCAGGAAAATGCTTTGCGGTCTGGGCTCGCGGTTGCTGCCAGCACTGCCGTTGACATTGCTGACATGCCTGGAGTTGTGAACTGCGCGCTGCGAGCGGTAAATAAACAAATAAATGTTTAGCCAAGGGGACCAGGACCAGGGCAAGTCCGTCAGTCCTTCCGTCAGTGTTTACACGCCGCTGCATTAATGCGGCAGGATATGGAGGATGTTGTCCTCCAGCATCTGATTTTGAATGCAAAAGAAAATGTGAAAGGTACAGAAACTTTGTTGTCATAACTTGTTGAACATGGGGCCATGCTGATTTCAATTTTGATAGGGGTAATATGGCTTGAAACTTTGTACGTATATACTTTAAAACGTCTAAATATATTTGGGAACGCCAAAGAGAATTTGTAATAAACCAATTTACAGTACATATTTGATTTTAATAATTAACAGCATATGAAATTTGTTATACTGGCAATGGAATTATTTAGTGAAATATGTTACACAACTTATTTAAAATTAATGGCCTACATAATAAACTGATTTTATACTTTTAAATAATAAAAATAAATATTTTATGAAAAAAATCGTTCCTGTCCTTGCATAAATTAGTCAGAAAACAAGATAGGTTATACAAATTTTTAGTTGAATAAAATTATACAGCTAAATGCAAGTGAAAGCATTTCAGTCAAAGCCAACTTAACAATTTGATGTGTTTAAGCTTAAATATTTGAGGGAAATAGCATTTTCCATACTTTTGATTTCCAGCTGCGCTAATTCCCACACAATAATTAATTTAATTGTGCAATTTCCGTACCATTTGTTGGTAGAATGTCCATTTCTATTATGAATATATTTATGTGTTCATTTCGATTTGTCCCGTTTAATTTGTAATAATTTCTGTTTGACTAGGCGAAAATCAATAAACATAAAATCGCGTTTATTGAAAGTGAAAAATGTTCATTTCCATTTAATTCTATTCATTATTTCAATTATTTTTACGCACTTGCGGTGGACTGTTCGCTAAAATGGCTGGTTATGTAGCAGGGGGTTTTGTGTTTAACTGCATGATGGAAATGATTTGTGTGCCAGATTTGGTGTTTGTCTGCGTTTATGACCCAGAACTGTGTTGGCTACACTCCAGCGGCAGTTTGCATAATAAATGGCAAGTCGGTATGAAATAAATTACAAAAGTCGGACCACCGAATGGGCAGGTCGGTGGCTAGAACAAACTGGATCAGGTAACCGCAAATTACGTATACGACACGTGCGACCGAAAAAGGGACTAACTCAAAACAGAGAAAAACAGACAACAGATTAGCCAACAAAAATGACAATTCATGTTGGCTATGGCTATGTTGACTCTGTTTTCATTTGCGATTACAGCTCTCCGAGCAGGAAGCTCACTTGAAAAGTCATTAAAAAATATGACAAATTATATGCGGATTGCTGCAGGGCAACTTTTCCAGTTGACGCTGCTGGCTGGCAATAAACTAAAGTTAGCAGCTTAACAAAACAATAAATGAAGTTGGCAAATGCGATTGTTGTGCCTCAAACAGAAAGTGCAAAAAAATGTGTGAGAGAGAGAGAGAGAGAGAGAGTAAACAGGAAAGAAAGGAAAGACAGGACAACAAAAGGCGAGCGCAAAACTTTTCCCCCGGGGAAAAGTTCGGAGACAGCGAGAGGTGGCTACAAATTTGCTGCTCAAATTGCTTTCACGCTTCTTGTATTTAAGTTTCAAGTTGTGCTTGTGTGCGGGCTTTCCCTGCTTTCCTTGCCTTTCTATTTCTATTATATTCTAGTCTCTTTTTCCTATTGACTTTTCGCTTTGTGCAAAACAATTTGTGTTGCCTAGTTTTCGGGGCAATTAGTGGGCTAAGGCGCAACAGGTGCAGCTCATTGCGAATTCATTGCAGGCAAAGCGACCGAAAGACAAAAACGCCAACGCGTATGGCGGAAAAAGGGGGCAATTGTGATTTCCCTGATGATTGTGGCCCATCAAGGTTGTGCTCGAGCTGCAAACGTATTCATGTCAGGCAGCAGAGCTCATAGAAATGCATAGAAAAGGCAAATCTACTGGCAGCGCAAGGTTAAAAATAGCTTGAAGAATGATCATTTTTGCTGGGAAAATTGTTCAATGCAAATTTAATGGAAATTGGTCTAAGGATTTTAGTTTAAGACAACCAAAAAGACAAATGCTGACGACTTAGTCAGTTATATTGTGATTTCTATATAACTAAAGAAATCAAAATAAATATTATAAATGATATAAAATTATTTATTGTAACTTCTTAAGCTTTTTTCTTCTTATTACTAAATAATTTATTTTAGTTTGTTATTATTATTGCAGTTTAATTCCATTTTGAATACTTTACTAACGTGTAAGTTTGTTAAAAATGTCATGTTCAGAGCCATCTGAATTTCTATTGAAGCACAAGGAGCCATCATCTTTCCTTACAGATTGACTTGCTTTCATTTTCGATTAGGAAGCCATTCAAACTTTTTCCCCGCCAATAATATCTGAATATTGTATCTTTATCTGCGACATTCGCACTCGTTCCACAAAACTCTGTCGCAATTCCCACAAAATCAACTGGCTGGCAAGGAAGCGAAACTTTCCCAGCTACAAATTGGCACACTCTTGGCTCTGGC